ACTCTAAAAGCTGCCAAATCCCTCATCCACTCCTTCGTCACCTCTCGACTTGACTACTCAAATGCCTTCCTCACTGGTCTGGGTTTGATTCAACCCGCCTGGGTTTGATTCCCAGGCGGGTCGAAACTTTGGGCAAGTTTCCTTACTCCACATACTTCTGTTTACCTGCTGTAAGTGGGAACCCAGTTAATGGTCAATTGTTGGATTGCTTTTCCGGGGGTAATAAACCCTTCTCAAAAACAAAATAATAATAATTTGGTCACTTAATCCACGAATGGTTGTGGGACACTGCTGTGTGCAATGTTTCGCCCACAAAACATACAGTCAATTCACTTTACATTATATTCTGTGAAGCGCTTTGAGATGTCTGGAAGACATGATAATGTGCTATATCAAATGGAAGCATTACTATATTATTACCCCAGTCCTTGTCAAACTCCATTGGCTGCCTGCTACAGAGCAGATCAAGTTAAAGATTTTCACTCTTGTATTCAAATCCCTCCATGCCCTGGCATCCCCTATCTCTCCAATCTGCTCTCTCCCTACACTACTACCTGCTGACTCCGCTGGACTGGTTTCGGCCTCTTCCTTCTCCCTCGAACACTTCACCCCACCATCAGTAGCTATGCTTTCAACCACTACACCCCGAAGATATGGAACTCTTTCCCTCAATCCCTTCTCCTTGACCCTTCTTTCCCCTTTTTCAGGTCGCGCTTAAAGATCTTCCTCTTCGACCATCCCTCTGGCTCAGCATCGAATTCCGCCATTGTTAAGTGCTCCGAGATGCTTGTTGTTGTAAAACTGCATAGCTTGCCATTGCTGTTCGGTAAGCTTTTCAACTGTTTGCCAGCTAGGACTACCCTACCCTTTGGGGCTTTGGTTTGCAGGGTTAACAGGAGCTGAGTGGGATGACTCCCTATCCCCAGTGACTGGTCTGCCCTTCCTGATCCTGCCGATGAACCAGGCTGTTGCCGATGTGCCATCATCAGCATTTCCCTGGAATACTGGGACCCGCCTGGCTCAAGTACCAAACTACTGAGACTACCGTAGAGGGCTGGCTCGATTCCATTGCCAAGCATGTTCGGAGCCAGTTCAACTCCAAGGAGACCTCGCTCGCCTTCCCCCCCAAGGAGGATAGTGTGAGCTCTAAGTCCCTGAACTCACAACCTTCTAATGTTAAATAAATACATTTTTTTGTAAAACAGTGATGGAGACTACCAGTGGTGAGGCTGAAGAAAAGGATTGGGGTGTGCAAATTTTTTCCTCAATGTTCAGCCCGGTTGGAGACAAGTCTTATCCACCTGCTTCCTTCCACGGACACTTTCTGTGGCGACTATTCCCTTGACCTGATTCAGGAAAAGCAAGCTTTCCCTGGGAGTCCTGGCCAACAATTCTCCTTATTAAATTGGTCACGGATGTTCTGGGATTTTGCTGGTGCAAAATGGCTGTCAGTTGCTCAGCCATAACTTTGACAGTCGTTACTTGCATAGCGCTTTGAGGTTAATCTCTGCAAATTCTTTCTTTCCGGTGCCGTAACCATAACCCACGCAAAACCACAACCTGCTGCATATCTTCCGATACATATGGGTTCCCAGCATGACTGGCTCACACTGCGGCTCATTGCCAGGGCCTGTGGTGGTGCCCAGATTTGCAAGTGAAGCTGACACCAAATGCGTCAGGCTCTAGAGGTGTTGAAATGTACCCAACACGAATCGGGGTGGGGGTGAAGCATTCATAATAGAGCAAACTAGTGAATACTTTAAATGATGAAGAACAAAGTAAGTTACAATTCAATTTTAATGAACACTGGAACAGCTCCAGTAAACTTTGAAAATGTAACCTAGTGTGCTTAACCCACAACCTGATAAGTTTGGTACTCAGAATAAATAATAATAGTAATGCTTGCATATGATATAACACCTTATCACATCAACAGAAGGCAGTTTTTCCTGGAGTGCTGGCCAATATTCCCCCAAACAAAATTGGTCATTCACTTTATGTAGAACATTGCGTGCATAAAAATGGCTGGCAAGTTTGCATACAAATACACAATCCCCATACTTTACATTAAATCCTGTGAAGGTGCTACGGCAAATTGAATGATTAAGCTGAATCAGCGAGGAGGAAAAGAATGCATTCAGTGACGCAAAAGAGGTCATTGACCATACAGTGTAGTGACTGCGTATTTTGTAGGCGAACGTGGCAGCAAAATTGCACATAGCTATGTCGCAAAGACAGCCATGACATAAATGACCAATTTCATGGCTGTTTTGGGGACATTGATCTACGCAATTTTGCTGCTGGTTTGCCTACAAATGCACATTCACTCCATTTCACAGTAATTTTGTGAAGTGCTTTGAGACAGCCTTCCAAAGGGATAAGACACTATATCAAATACAAGGATTATTATTTTAAGCCCCATGTAGGAACTTTGCATTCACAGTCCAGGCTGGTGCTCAGGTACAGTGCTGGAGGGAGTGCTGCATTGTCAGAGGTGCCA